GGCCTCGGCGCCCCGCGCTGCTGCTGCTGCGGCTTGGAGGAGGCCGTGGACGGCGTGCGCTTCATCGCCGACCACATGCGCAGCGAGGACGACGACCAGAGCGTGAGTCGGGGAAGGTGCGCGGGGCGGGCGGGCGGCACGAGCGCGCCGGGGCTCAGCGCCGCGCCGGKGCCGGCCCCGCAGGTCAGCGAGGATTGGAAGTACGTGGCCATGGTCATCGACCGCCTCTTCCTGTGGATCTTCGTCTTCGTGTGCGTCTTCGGCACCGTGGGCATGTTCCTGCAGCCGCTCTTCCAGAACTACGCCACCAACTCCCTGCTGCCGCTGGGCCCGGGCACCCCCACGGCCAAGTAGCCCCCGCCGCCGGCCCCCGCACCCCAATAAACAGCACCCCGGAGGCGACCGCGTCCCGCTCGGCTCATTGCGGCCCTCGCCCGCCGCTCCCGGGGCTGCCCCGGGCCCGGGAAGAGCGGAAGCGCCAGGGGAGGCCGGGCGGCCTCGCCGGCCTCCTTCCCACATCCCGGGGGGCCCCGGACCCCCAGGCCTCCCCTCCTTGGGGGGCAGCAGCCCCGGGGGCCCCTCTTCTTGGGGCCCAGTGAGGGCCCCTCGGAGCTGCAGCGGCTCTGGCCCCACAGCAGCAACGGGCCGGGGGGCTGCTCCAAAGCGGGTGTTTTTCCGTAAATACGCTGTATGGGGGTGGCAGGAGAGGAGAGGGGGGCAGCTGCAGCCCCGGGGGCCGGCGTGGTCCAGCACCCACCGGTGCTGCTGGTGCATTAACCCCGGAGAGGGCGAGGGAAGGAGAAGGGGCCGTGGCCAGAGCTTCATGTTGCAGCTACRTCTGCAGCGCGCGGGAGCCTCCCCCGCTGCCAGGCCGGCCCTCCTTCCCTGCCGCGGGAATTCAACAGAGGCCAGAGCCCTCTCGTAACACAGAAAACGCTTTATCGAGGTGGAGGGTGAGGCCRGTGCCGCCGGCTGCGCCGCCCGGGGCTCCCGCGCAGCAGAAACTGCCTCCAAACCYGCCCAAAGCGGCTCGGTTCGCAGGCCCGGAGCCCCCTCGGGCTTCTTGTGCCTTCTTTAAAAGGGGGGAAGAGGGAACAGAAAAGCAAGAGGCAACCGAGCCTGCTCTAGCTTTAAAAAASAGAGGAGACAAAACGATTTCCATGCGAGTCTTAAAAAGGGAAAGGTCTCCCTGCAACTGCTCCAGCCTCCGCCAGGGCAAAACCACTGCCTCCGCAGCCGGAGGCGGGAGAAGGGCGCCGAGATGCGCATGGGCGGCCGCGCTATGCGAGCGAACCCGAGAAACTGTCCTCCTCGGGGGGCTTGCGGATCCAGGTGCCGTAGCCCAGCTCGCCGAGCGCCTGGAAGAAGCTGCGCTTGGCCTCCTGGTAGGCGGCGGCGGCCTCCTTGGCCTCGGCGTAGACGGGCAGCCGCCGCAGCTCCCCGCGGCCCGTCYTGGCACACAGCTGCTGGAACAGGGCGAACATTTTCCTCTTGCACACGCGGGACAGCTCCAGCTTGGGGCTGAGGAGCGAGACAAGGCGGTGAGGAAGGGGCAGGACGGAGRAAGGGGCGCGCGGCGCTTTGCTCTGCTCCATGAGCGCCCACTCGAGTCGAGCGCTGCTCTCTCCAACGCTCCCCGTGGCGCAGGACAGCGCGGCAGCCCCAGGCCGGCCCGTCCACGGAAAGCGCGGCGTCGGCAAGGGCTCTCCTTACCCCTCTACTTTGCCTTTTGTGCCGTCCAGGACTTCCACTTTGCCTTCATCAGCGAGACACCAGTTCAGCGAAGACTCCTTGGTCTTGCCCGTCTGCCTGGCGGAGTCGTACACGCTGACTCTGCCAACCTGCAGCAGCAGAGCAGGGGAAGAAAGAGGGGTTCTTGCCACCCGTCCCGCTGCCCTGGCCCAACCCGGCGCTTGTCCTGCCAGCTCCCGGGGCCTTCACAGTGTCACGGGCACCGTGGCTCCTTTGGAGCATCTGACAAACGTGACACGTTCCGTGGCCCTTCAACTTGTGACCCCGCAGACAAGGTGCCTGCAAGGTGACACTGCCACCCAACGCCTCGGTGGAGGCCGAGCCCCCGGGCAGAGCTGGCAGAGGGGACGGAAACCGGCCGGGGTGCCCGGGCCGCGGTACCTCGGGGTGGTTAATGCGATACGGGGGCCGCAGCTTCGCCGCCAGCGCCGTGCCGGGCCTCGCCACGCGGCAGCAGATCGCTCGTGTCAAGTGCCCCTGGCTGTACAGGTAACCTGCGGACACAGACGGGAGGGCGTCAGGGAAGGCGCCTGCCCTGGCACGGGGCAGGACGGCACCGGAGAAGCGCAGCCCCTTTCCCCTGCAACAGCAAAGTCGCTGTTTCTGCCCGTTCCTTTTGTCTTTCACAGCACCCGAGACACACGCAGGCGCCTTTAGGCTCGCCCTCTAGATCAGATGTGCCTCCCAAAAATCAGGAGCCTTGCAAAAAACCCACCCACTCCATCCACTGCATGAGATGCAGAGCCTCATTCTGCTTCCAAGAGCGCAGCTCTGCCACGAGCAGCGTTTCAGGCTCACTCCCACAGCCCCCACAGGAGAGGAGGAGGAGGGAGGTTATTTGTTACTACAGCCTCGCTGCACGGAGCAGAGCTGATGCAGCTCGGGAAAGGCTGCGGCTCTCGTACCGAGCGTGACGGAGCTGAGATAAACGGGCTCTAGGAAATGCGAGAGCAAGGCCCCTTGCAAGCCGAGCACGTTCCAGCGCAAGATTTTGTCACTGCAGGACATGGTGCGCAGCCTCTCCCCGTGCTGGATGCCATCCCACGTGGGCACGATGTCGCTCGACTCCACAGGGATGGTGCCTTCCCCTGCACGAGAGGGAGAGAAAGCTTTTCTGCAGCATCAGAAGCAAAATAAACCCCCAAACACCATCACGTAGGGCGCAAGAAACAGCTTGCACGCCTTTTAGATGGAATGGGCAGAGAGAGGCCTCCGGGGCCAGTCCAGGTTCCAGGTCCTGGGATCATTTTAGCACCACGTAGGCCGAGGGGCCGTCTCGCAGCGCAGGGAGCAGAGGYACTGACCGTTCTCCACCTTGGTGCGCAGCTTGCCCTGCTTGGCGTTCTCAAAGAGAGGCTGGTGCTGCGTTTCCCCCGTGCTGCTCGCCTGCTCACTGCAGGACTTGTCAAAGAGCGCCCCGTCGCCACACGGTGCTGTGCTGCAAAGCAAACCTCCCCAGGTCGGCAAGGAAAAGCAAAAGGGATATCAGGAATATCGCAGGGCCCGAGGCTGGGGTGCAGCACCCGCCACAAACCTGACATAGAGATGAAAGGTGACACTGCTCTTTATTCTGAGGCGCTTCTCTCCTGCCGGCTCAAAAATGCTCTCTTCCACAGAGGAGGGACTCGAGGGGTTGTACTTCATCAGCTCGCTGTACAGGAACCTGGAATCACAACCGGCTGCTTTGGGCCCGGAGCAGCCCAACCCGAGCACAGGCAGAGCCCCCAGGAGCTTTTGGTCCTGGCACCCGGCCTGCACTCACAGCTACGACGGCTTGGAAGCCAATAAATAGCATTTATTTCTTGGCGAAAAAACCTCAAAGGTTGCAAAGCAGATTGGCTGCTGTTCAGAGGATGGGCAACGGCAAATAAATCTGTGTGGGGAGCAGAGGGACAAGCAGGGAGCGAGGAGCCTGCCCGGCTGCTGCCCCTTCCCACCCGATCCGAGCGTGAAGGAGACTTCGAGGTTGTGAACCCAGCGCCTTTAGTCAGCACCAGGTTGGCACTAASATAAACACGGGCGGCTGGAGGCACGGGTATTATTAGCACAACCCCGCGATCCGGTTACAATGACTGGCTCTTTTAAGGCTCCTTTTTCTTCAGGTGCAGGGGAAAAGAAAACCCTCGAGGCCTGTCAAGGAGCACAGGAAACCTTCAGCGTGGCAGAGACCCAAGCAAGGAGCCACTCTGGGAGGGGAAGACCTCCCTCGTCTCCAAACTGTGTACCCCAGGGGGACAGAGGGCTCCGACTGTCGGGATCTAGGGCCAAGGCAGCCAGGAAGGAAGACTGCAGTTCTCTGATGTTAGGGGCTTGCTACGGGGCGGCTCTCGATACCTCCCGGGGGCGCAGGACAGCAGCAAAGGCTGTAAGAAAAAGGCTGTAACCAGAGGAGCGGGCACAGTAGTGAAATTAGTCTAATGACAGCTGATCATTTCACACAACAAAAGCGCGATGCTAAATGTGTAAAAAGAAGTGACAACTACGCGGTCTGGTTCAGGAAAGCCCTTCCCAGGCGATGAGAAAGGACTCGGCGCTCATCGACACGTGGGCACGACGCGTCTCGCGCAGCAGCAGGCCGGGCCGGGGGCCCTTGGCGCGGGGCACCCAGCCTTTCAGGCCGCGCTGTACCCTGGCTCCGCGCGCGCTGCAGCCGAGCTCCGCACGCGGGCCAGCGATGCTTTATTTTCAGCACATCMCCCGCGGCCCTGGGCTCTTGGCGAGCCTCCAAGCCGGCGCTAATTCAAGCACCATTCAGGCAGAAGTCTTTCTTATCAGAAAGAACATCCTTCTAGTTACCAGCACAGGGCGCAACAGAAGTGCGAGAGCGGCAGAGCGGCCGCCGYAGCCGCGCTCCCGCCGAAGGGCTCGGCGCACGGGGGCAGCACCTCCTGCAGCCCTCTCCTCGGGATTCCCGCTCCTCTCACCTCACGAAGCCTCGTCGAGAAATGATTTCCGCGTGACAGTCGTTCACCGTCTCCCCTTTCAAGCTGAGCTCTTCCCCCTTCACGCAGCGGTTGCCTGGCGAACAAGGCAAGCATCAGAAAACGCCACCACCAAGAGAGGGAGGCCCTCAGCTTACCCCAGCTCCTCCTTTCCTGATTCCTGAGCAGCTGCTAGACCATCCCTATCCAAGCAACTGCAGAACTGAAGAGCACACACTAGTCCAGGCTCAGCAGAGATCTAAACTGCCACGGGCACAAGGCAAGGCAGTGCTTTTCACCCCGCTGCCCCAGGGGGAAGCAGCAGCTACTTAAGAAGGGTGTTAAGGGTGTTAAGAAGGGTGTTAAGGTGGGTAGAGCTGAGGGGAAGCAGGGGATCCTCTACTACAGGACACAAGGAAGGATAAAGCAACGTAAGCAGAGATGAAGAGCAGCATAGCCGAAGGCATTTTCACTGTTGTCTCTACCCCTAGATCCCCGTGACACCAGGGGGGCCCTGCCAACAGCCGCTTCCCAGCGGAGCCGASTGGGAATGCGGCTGGCGAGGGGCTGTGCGAGCCAGGCCGGGAGACGCGCCCCTACCCGTGCCGATGCTGACGACGACTCCCAGGCCCTTGCTCCCGCGGCGCATGACGACGGCCGCCAGGATCTTCCTGCCGGGCAGCCCGTGCGGCACGCGGGCGGCGAGGGCGTTGAGGCGCTGGTGACTCAGCATGGCGAGCTGATCGTGCAGGGTGCTGCCGCTCACCGGGAGCTGCGGGAGGGACACGCTGCCACAGCCCCAGCGCGGCACCCCCACTGCAAAGCCCAACAGAACCAGCGGCGCCCCTTTGCCCCAGGCTCAGCCCGGGAATCCTCCCAGCTCCCGAGGAATTCCTCGCCTGGCTGGGAGGAGGCAGCACCAGGCGTTCCCATCCCAAACGGCCACTGGCCTCTTCCAGTGCCACTCGGACTGACACATCCTCCCAGACGGCTCTGCTATTTAGAGCCTCGGCCGCACAGCCCGGACCGCAGCTTTTAAGGGCTCACAGAGCTCCGAGGGTGACTCAAAGCAGGCTAGATTTGGGGCTGCCTCCCTGCCAGCACCAGCACTTCGCTCTGCGCTGATGCACTTTTTTTCAGGTTGACACAGAATTTTTAAAGCTCTACCAGGGAATCTGGAAAGGGAATTCACAAAAGAAAAGAGCAGAGCGCGTGTTCCTGCTTCCCTGCAGGGGCATATTCTAAGATGTCACTGATAATAGGAAGATAAATTAGCCTCAAAGTGGTCACCAGGAGGAGGGAATAGTACATGAGGGCCCTGAGAAAACAGCCGGCCCATTTCAGGAGAGCACCAGCCTACCCACACCCTAGAGAGCAACAATCCCCCAGTTTCACCTTGCAGACGTGTTCCTGAAGGGCACAGAAGAGCAAGGGCTACAGCAGCAGCCCCACATCCATAGCAGGAAGATTTACCTCTGCGACGTTTGCCCCCTCCATGCGCTCGGCCCTCTCCGTCTCCCCGATGAGCACGCGTAGCGCCGCATCCGCCGCCTCCTGCTTGCCCTGCTTCTTGCTGTGCGCGGTTACGGCAGGGAACCAACGTCCTCCAACCTTCGCCTGGTACACGAACCTATGGAAAGAGCGTTGCAGCGCTGGGAAATTCAGGAGCGTGGGGATTTTGGCTTGTTTTTTAAAGTCTCTCGGTGAAAGGAGCTCAAAATTATCCGGGCATAAGGTTTGATGGAAGCAGCAGCCTGCGTCCACCTCTAACTGCATCACRGGGTGGTGATTTTCTGCACAAACTTGCCCTTTTTTTAGGGCAAAACAAAAGGAAAGCGCAAACCACAAACAAAGGCAGCTGCTTACTTTGGGTCGTGGGGAGGTCCGGACTGGTCTATGAGCTGGAACTCTGCAGCAAACCCGTTGGTGCGGGCATATTCCAGCAGGCCACTGACGGGATTGACATTAAGGTACTTGATGAGCTCCCCAAGGCCCTTCGCCCTCGCCGCCCTGGATTCATCTGGAACGGCGATCTGTGCTCCACAGCTCTCCACGGACTGCTCACCATGGGACTCCTTGGCAGGCCAGGGCACAGTTAGAGAGAAGGCTGTTAAACACTGCGCAGCGCATGACGTTGGGTTACATCCATGAGAATGCAAAATAAAGAGGGAAAGAATACGGGTGGATGTCACAAAAAGCTCTCCTTACCTGTTCGGACAGGACATGGGCTCCTGACTCTCCTGAAAGGATCTTCACAGCAACTTCTGCCGCCATCTGCTTGGCTCCCTTCTTGCTGTTGCCTACCACAGCAGGGAAAATCTGGTCACCCATTTTCACACAGAAGCTGAACCTGACAGGACATCACAGTACATGAAGAACATTAAGCACAGATGCCTCGGGCTGTTTATTATCACCTTCTCTCAGTTCAAGCTGGGCCCTTCTGGGTTTTCTCCAGTTTAACGCTACCAGCATGGCCCTGAACAGTGCAAAATTCCRATTAAACTTATCACGTTGGACGCAGGACTAGGATCTGGTCCTGGTTTTGCAGAAGGACAAAGGGCCTCTCCAAGAAAGGGCACTACTTTTGATCCCTCTTGGGAAACCAACGTGCTGAAAAAGCCATGCCCAGATTTTCTGGATAAAAGGCACAGTCAGCAAGGGCAGGACAAGGAACAGGAATGCAAACAGTGTGCTAAAGAGGGGCTATTAAAGACAGGGCTTCTATCCTCCCCAAAGTTCACATCAATTTGCCATACTTAGGGTCATGCGGTGGGCCTTCCTGAGAGAGCAGCTGGAATTCAATTATGTTCCCTGATTTTTGTCCATATTCCATTATTACGCTGACGGGGTTCTTCCCGGGAAGCAGGTTCAGTTGAGCTGGTGCAGACGGTGGCTCTGGCTCCGGGTTCGAGGGCTACACCAAAAAGATGAACGAATCCATGCTGAGACTCAACTCCAGGTGATCAAGCACAGAAATGAGGACTAGAAGACCTACCAGCTCAGAAGCAGAACTATCCGAGGGAAATTCCTCTTCACATTTAATCCTACTGGGTTTCCCATCCTCGGCTTCGTTCATCAGGATCCTCATGGCRTTAGCAGCTGCCTCCTGCTTTGCCTGCTTTTTGCTACCTGCTTCTGCCGGCGGGAATCGGCGCCCGTTAATCACGGCCTGGAACTTAAACCTTGGAAAGGAGAGAGACACCAAGACAGGTTAATGAGGAGCAGGACGTGCCCAGAGGAAGCGGCCTTGGAGTTCAAGCGAGAAGCAGCAGCWAACTCGCAAGGAAATCCACTCGGATCTCTCCTCACAAGAAAAGCCTGGGATGCTGCCTGTGGAAACGAGGCCAATTTTCCCGTCTAGCGGCTCTATTGACGTACTCCATCGCAGCACATATGGTGCCTTTCACCAGCTCCCTGGCGCTTGGGAAGAGCCGCTCTTTGGCGCAGGGAGGCCTCCAGAGACCCCCACGTGCCACGATACACACGGGGGCCGCAGGGGCTGCAGTCTGAGCCCTGCGAACGGGGACATAGAGGCAGAAAGTTGTGAGGAACGATCCACTGCTGCTAGGGACAGGGTCTCCAGCACCTGACCGGGCAATTTATTTATATCCCACTCCTCACAGCAGCAATTCCTGGAGTCAAAAGGAAGTTGCAAGTAAACAGACCAAAAAAATATATATATAGAGACAGATCTATAGATATATATATTATCCCACAACAAGGCAATCACTAATGAGTGGGTCCCGTGGAGACAAGGCTGAGTGGATGAAGTTACTGGAAGGCAGTTGGAGCCGAGAGAGAGCTCGGCAAATTCCCAGCCTTTTCTTACCGTGGCTCATGGGAGGGCCCGCTCTGCTCCAGCATGGCAAACTCACAGTGCTGGTAGGTGTACTGGGAATACTCGGTGAGGCCGCTCACCGGGTTCTTCTCCTGACAAGCGAGCAGCTTCCCTAGGCTCGTRCCGGGCAAAGCGGCTTCCGAGCGGGCGACGTGGCCGGGGGAAGCGGGAGCGGTCCCGACACCTCCTGACCCGTCAGGCTGCCGGCTCATCGAGTTCAGGTTGTCCGGGATGTCATCCGTGGCCCACTTGCCATTTTCGGAGCTATTGTAGTTCGTGAAGCTGGAGAACCCGGACTTGCTGTCTGGCACAGCCGCTTCCACGTCGCTGGCATCGCCGCGATCCGTTCGCCCCTGTGGCCAGCGCCCGTTTTCCCTTCTTTCTTCTTCTRATGCTGTCACTGCCGGCGAAGCGACCGTCCTCTCCGGAGGCTCCGGAGGAAGAGAGGGAGGCGGAAAAGCCGGCTGGGACGCGGGACCTGCTGTGGCCGCGCCGGCCTTCAGCCTCATCTGCATCCGCTCGCGCTTCCTGGCTGTGAGAGACCATCGYGGCGGGCTCGTGTTCTCCTTGCGGACGTCTCCCAGCTTTTCCAGGGCGCTCAGGAAGGCATTCACATCTTTGGCCCGCGAGAAGCCGATGTTCTTGGCCAGGCTGAGCGCCGTCGCCTCCGCCACGCTGAACAAATAGTTGCAGATCTTCTCCTTGGTCTCGGCCATGCCGGCAACGTTCCTGGAGGCACCTGCCCGGCTTTCTTCTGTGATCTCCGAGGCGGGATGTGGGCGGCAAACCCTGCAGCCAGGGGGGCTTCTTTCCCTCTCGGCAGCGGGGCCAGGAATCTTCCACAGCGGCGGCGTCTCCTCGCCCTTGTGCAGCTCGCCGTCCCGGAGCAGCTTGTAGAGCGCCCGGTTCACCTCCTTCTTGTGCGTTTTAAGCCTCCGCGCGAGGTCGTACACGGTGCAAGCCCTGCCCTGCCCCAGCTGCCTGAAGACGGCCAGCACCTCCTGCTCGAAGCTGCGCCCGCCCAGGGACAGTCTCTGCAGGTTCAGCCTGATGCTGTCGGAGGGCCCTTCGGCTTCGGCGCCGGCTTTAGGCCATGCCGGGGGGCTGCGGCCGAGCTGCCACCTCCCCGCGGGCGCCGGGGCCGCCGGCGGCGCCGTCCTCTGTCCCCACGGCGGCGGGAGGGCGGCCGGGGCCGCCTGGCCCGTGAGGAAGTGCCGCTGCTGGCTCAGGAAGGCCTCCCTGCCGGGTGCCGGTCGGAGCGGGGCGCCGGGGAGGCCGCGTCGCGCGCGGGCGGCGTGCGAACCCCTTCCTCGGCCGCCGCCTCTGCTCATAGCGCCCCGCCGGGAGCGAGGGGGGGTCCGGCCGCTCGCCTCCCGAGGCCAGGCCTGCTGGAGACGGGCACAAGACGGGAATTGGGGGGTTATGGGAGGGAGGCGCCCCGGGCGGCAGCGCGTGACCTGCAAAGGCTCGCAGGACGGGGGACGTAACGCGAGGAGGGCCGGGGAAACCGGATCGGGGCGCGCGGGGGGACGACGCGGGAGCCGTGCCCGGACACCCGACTCCTCCGGCCGCGCCGCCCGGCGCTCACGCAGCCGCTCAATAAGCGGATTTTCCTTTGGAAAAGCAAGCGGTCATCTCGAGGGGTGTCCCGGCCTTGCGGCAAGCGCAAGGAAACGGGGATCAGCGGGATCAGCGGGAATCCTGCCCTTCGCGGGGAGCCGCTCGAGGCCGCTCGTCCCGGGGAGATTAACGGGAGCCGAGCGGAGCGTCACCCCCGGCGTGGAGGGGGCAGAACCGGCGCTTAGCCGGGGGGGAACAGGAGGGGGCCTCGGGGTGCGCTTACCTCGGGGGTGCCCTAAAGCTGCGCCCGAAAYGACCGATTTAGCCCCAAAACGGGGGCGGGGGCAAGATGGCTGCGGGCGCGGTTTCGGTTTCGCTTCCCGCGGGGCCCGGCGGAGGCTCCGCCCGCGGGCGGCCCCGGGGAAGGGAGGCCGGTGGGGGGCGGCCTGGCCGCCAGCTCCGGGACCGAGCCGGCGGGACCGGGCCCGGAGCCCCGCGCACGAGGCCCCGCGGCCCGCGCGGCCGCCAGAGCGACCCGCCCGACGGCGCCTCGCCCGCCCCCTCCCCCGCCCCTCCGGGGCTCCCGCCGCCCCCCGCCGGTCCCGGTACCGCCGCCCCGGGCCCCCTCCTCACCCACGGGCCGCGGCTCCCGGCCCGCCCGCGGCGCAGCCCGATGACGCCACTGTGCCCGCGCGCCACGCCCCCTCAGCGAAGCGCCGGCGGCCATCTTTGAGAAGGGCAGCCTCCGCGCCGTGCCCGTCCCGCGCCCCGACGGCGCCGTCGGAAGGGGCCGTTTGCAGCAGCGCGGCCCCCCCCGCGCCGCAACCGCCGCCCGCCCGTTCCCGGGGGGGGGGGGGGGGGAGCGAGCACCCGCCCCGGCCGATGGCGCTGCTGGGAGAGCTGCAAAAGGCCCTTTTGGGGGGAAAAAGCGGCATTTCGCTCTGCAGCGGCCGCGCCCCCAACCCCCGCCTTTTCCGTCCTAGCTCCGCGGCCCCAACGCGTTGTCACCGAGTCGGGCTCATATTTAAAGTCACGATCTGCGACGTGTCACGATCAAGGACGACGTGTCCTTGCTCATTCCCGCTTTGATTTACGGAAAAACGGGCTGCATTCCCGACCCGTTTCCAGGGCGACGCCACTCGCGCCCCGCGGATCGGTGACCGAAGCGGCGCTGCCGCCCGCCCGGCATCGACCCGGGCTGCGGCTCCCACCTCCCCGCTCCCGGCCAAGGGCGGCGGAGGGGGGGCCCGTCAGGACCACCCCCCATCCCTAAATATTCTTATTCCAGCCATAAACCCCGCACGGAACGCGGCAGGGCCCTCGCGGAGCACATTTAGGGCGCTGACTTTTTAATTAATTAATCCCTCGCAGGGATGGGCCCCGTTTTTGTCCCTCAAACCAGGCACATTTTCCTCCCAAACCGCATTTCTTTTTTTTTTAATCTAAAAGAAATAAGAAGCTGCAACAACGCGTCTTGTTTCTCCCTCGCCCTCCCCGGAGGCAGCGCATGGAGAAAAAAGGAGGAGGAGGAGGGGAATAAATAGTCAGAAGCACCAGTTGGCCGAATATCTCGCGGCCTARTTGATTCCTCTTTAATTAAAGCAGAACCCAACGCGCTCAGGGGGAGGTTTGGAGCGGGCGCCTCCCCGGGGCCCTGCGGCGGGATAACGTGGCGCTTTTCCCGGTGCCAACGCCCCGGCCGTTATCCAAGCACGGATATCCAAGCGCCGACCTTCCCTCCTCCTCCCCGGCACGTCCCCACCGGTTCCTCAGCTTTTATCCCTTTGCAATGCAGCCAGCTTTTCCATTAGCACAACCGGAGGCCGGGAAGAGGCCGGGGAGGGGGGGTCCTGACGCACCCGCTTTCCCTACGGCATTTGGGCCGTGCCACCCGGGGCCAAATCCCTCCGTCCCGGCCGCGACGCTCCCCGCGGGAAGAACAGAGCTGCGGAGACCGGCACAACGAGGGTCTGAAGCGTTTATATACGGACGCGGATACCATAGACTTGTGAGTGTGTAACTTGCGCACTTACACACCCGCACGGGTAAATACTCCGAGATATCGACCTCTCCGGTTAAAGTCCAAGGCACTTTTTACAGTGAACAGGTTAAAGCCATAGTTTAAAACATGCCTGTTTCTGGGTACAGGGCGGGTTATGGCCACGTTCCCGCTCCCTGCCTGCCGCGCGGTGCCACCCGTGGGCACCCCGGCGGGACGGACACCTGGGGAGATGGGCAGCACCGGGAGCAGCGCCGGGAAGAGCTCCCGGCGGGGAGGCAGCTCATCCCGCGGGAATGGCTGGTGTTGGAGTGCGGCTTTCCATTCCCCTGGTGGCTCCCGGGGAGCTGCCGCCGGAGCGGAGCCCTCCCTCCGGAGGCAGCTTCCCGCCTCCATCCCGGGATGCAGCCATCCCGGCAGGATCGAGCTGCTCCTGGGGCTGCAGGCAGAGCTCCGGTGAGGGGCGTGTTGCTGGTGGCGGCAGCGATCGCCATTCCCGTCCGGACGAGGGGAAGGGAGCGGCGGGAATTGGTCCCATGCTGGCACTCACTTTCCTAGGATGAGGGAGCCCTCGGTGGGAGCCTGCTGGGGTCCCACCCGTGCCACGGTGGRTTATTCCCTACCCAAATCCCTGCAAAGCACTCGGGGGTGAGGAGGAGCCCCCCGGCACCGCTGCTTCCCCTGAAGCCATCAGCCCAACGGGCAAACATTGGCCGAGCAGCAATTCCAGGGCTCCGGAGTTGGCAGCCGGATCCCACCGGTGGGGAGCGGAGGTGGCCGGGGAGCAGATGGCTTCCAGGGGACCTGCTGTGGCCCCGGGGACACGGCGGGCACCGTTCACAGCGAGTCGCTGATGCACCAGGACGCACCAACGCTAGAGCCGTCAAAGGCAGCTTCCAAGCAGCGTAAATCAATACCCAAGGAATCAAAGGACTGAGAGTCTTTCCAGATGAATTCCAAAGCCTCCCGTCTGCTAACCCTCGCCTCGGTCCTCCCGCGGAGCAGCGCCTGTACTCAGAAACAGGCATTTTGGCAGCAGGCTGGCATCGCTGCCCGCTGCCAAGCTCAGTTTGATACAAAAACATAATTGAAAGTTACAATATCCTTTATAATATAGCAATATATTTCATAGTTAAAATAAACTATTATGCTTTCCCCTATTATTAAAAAAAGAAGCGAGCAGTACAGAGGCGAGATGCAAACCCACGGTGAAGCTCATTGCTCTGAATCTGGGTGGAAACACCCCAGTTCTGTGAGTTTGCAAAGAGGACGTTGCTTTTTTTTTTCTTGCTTTTCCTTTTTTTCCTTTTTTTTTTTTTTTCTGGTCTTCTGCTTGTAGGACGTCTCCTTGCAGGCCGCGCGGGGAAGAGGTTGGTGGAACAAAAGCCGAGCCCACGCCCAAACCGAGCCTGGTGGGAGCGAGACGGGTCCCGTGGGAGCCGGGGGRTCCATCCCCGTGGCTGCGGCGGAGCAGACGCCAGTGGCTTCTTTTCCCCTTCCTCCCGTTGCCCAACGGGCTCCCAACCRGGCGGCCGCTCTTGTGCTTTTGCTCCGCTCCCGCCCAGGGCGATTCCGCCGGCGCGGGCTCCCAAGGGCCGCCGAAGGACGCGGCGCTGCTGCGGAGAGCGGGGGGCCCGCGGGGTCGGAGCGGGAGCAGCGTTCCCGCAGAGGCACCGGGAGCGGGACCGGGACCGGGAGAGGAATCGGGGCTGGGACTGGGAAGGGGAGCGGGGCCGGGATCGGGAGCAGGAGCGGGGTCGGGAGCGGGGCCGGGAGCGGGGCTGGGACCGGGATCGGGACCAGGATCGGGATCGGGAGCGCGGCCGGGACCGGGAACGGGGCCGGGACCGGGAACGGGGCCGGGAGCGGGGCCGGGAGCGGGGCCGGGACCGGGATCGTGAACGGGACCGGGAGCGTGACCGGGAGCGGGGCCGGGAGCAGGAGCGGGGCTGGGAGCGGGGCCGGGATCGGGACCGGGAGCGGGGCCGGGGCCGGGGCCGCCCGCAGCGGCGGCTGCCGCTGTCCGCGGTGCTGAACGGCCGCCGGCGGCGGGGGGTGACGGGGGCGCGAGGAGACAGGAGGGTGCAAGGTGCGAGGGGGSCCGGAGCAGGGCCCGAGGGCGGAGCGGAGTGCGCAGGGTGTGTGTGCAGCACCGGGAGCCCACCGGGAGCCCACCGGGACCGGGTGCTGCCCGGGGTGCCGGGCACGGGCTGCAAGGAGCAGGGCCTGGGCTGGGGGCTGCAGGTTTTCCAGTGCGGGGGCTGCAAGGCCCGGGACCGTGGCCCGTGCGGCAGGAAGGGACGGGACGGGACGGGCCCRGCCGAGCAGCACCACAGCCAGCGCGACATCTGCTCGGCCCGGCGGGGGCTCCGACAGCGGCCCCTCCAACAACAGCGCATGGAAGCAGGCACCGTGCCCAAATGGCTGTGATCCCCGTCGCGTTGCCAGGCTCCATGCAGACAGGCGCTCCCCTTCCATGTCCACCAAGCAGGGGCAAGGAGGAGCCGGCGGGCAGGTCCCTGCTGCTGCCGTTGCTCCTCGGGCACCGCCGCAGCTCACACGCSACGCGCTCTGCATCCTAGGCGCATCCGCAGCACTGAGACCATTCCCTCCTTTCCGTGCCCTCCTGGCAGAGCGCGGCGGGAGCCTCTTCCCCGCGCGGCGCCGGGGGATCTCTAGGCACACAGGGCGCAGCAGCAAGGCGAAGAGGAGGCTTTGGGTTGCCGCCGAGGCAGTGGCAGGAAGAAAAACCTCCGGCGGGGATATTCCTGCTGCTCCTTTGCTCCACAGCTCCCGGTGCCGGGCACAAGGAGTACAGCTCTGGTCGGAGGCAGCGAGTGGAGCCGTGCATGGAAACTCCCGTGCAGGAGGCTGAGCCAGCCCTGCCTCCAAGCCCCCCACATCCAGTGTTTCTGTTTCGTGGAAGCAAACGAGTTAAAGAGGAGAAGACGGCAGGACGGCTGGAGGAGCACAGTGACTTCACACACAGGCGCCAACAGCGCCAGGCGACACGGGACGAGCAGCGCGGCGGCTTCGGCGCTTTCGAAAACACTCGTGTCTCGCTGCTCTCCGCGGAGCCTGCGCCAAAGGCAACAAACTCCAGCCCCAGAGCGCCAAGACATTGCCGGAGCCGCTGGCGGCGGGAAGCACCGGGCAGGGAGGAGCGGGAGCGGCGGCTCCCGGCGCGACACTCCAGCGCGGGCGACGGGGCTCGTTTGAAGCGTCCCGGGGGGATCCAGCCCGTGGCTGCTGCCGCCTCCTCCGCTCCAGCCCCGTGCACGGAGCGTCGGGCTCCTTTCTCCACTCGGGGCTCCAGGCAGGATGGGTTCACGGAGGGTGAGGAAGAGGARGGTGACGCGCTCTGCCTGAGCGGAGAAGGCTCCTGGTGCTGCAGCCGCTGCCCCGCGAGGCCCCCGGTGGCTGGACGGACAAGGAGCCGGAGCACGAAGCGGCCCTGCGGGCACAGCGGGCAGCCCYGGGGCTGGCAGCGCCCGCGGGGGCTCCACACAGTGGAAATCTCTCCCTCCGAGCGCTTCCGCCTCGCGGGGTTACTTTTTCCCGTGTTTTTTTTGTGTGTGTTTTTCAAAGTGAAGACCTGAGATTGAGCGTGGACGTCCGTCCCCCGGCGGCGGCGCTCGGCCCCGTGGGCTCCGCGGGGCGCCCCTAGCAGCTGCTGGAGCTGGTGTAGGGCGTGGGGAAGGAGGTGGAGCTGACGCCCAGGGGGCTCTCGGACAGCGGCGTCTGGGGGGGCCCCGCGGGGCCGCCCCCCCGCGCCTCCAGCAGGGCGCCCAGCAGCCGCTGCTGCTGCTGCCGCAGCAGGTCGCCCACGAGCAGGGGCAGCGCGTTGAAGCTGGCGCTCAGCTGCTCCAGCTTGGCCTCCAGGCTGCCCAGCTGCTTCTCCAGGTCCTCGCTGCGGTCGTTGAGCTCCGTGATGAGGTCGTACATGACGTTCTGCATCTGCCAAAGGGGGTGGGGGGGTGGGTGAGTGGTGGGCGCCCCTTGGGGCCRCCCCGCTCCCCGGGTTGGGGGCGCCTCCCGCTGTGCTCGCGGGACGGGCGCCACGACGGACACGGTGGCTGCAGCGTGAGCCGGGGGCGTCTGCGCGCCCCAGCGCTCCCGGAAAGCGGCTCCGGGCAGGATGTGCCGGGGAAGGGGCTGCCAGGAATGTGCCGCTGCGGCGTGAGGATCCTCGGCTGGAGGCTCCCGCCCGGCCAGCGCACGGGCCCGTGGCCCCGGCGCTCCCGCTCCTCCTCCGCAACCCCCGGCCCCTCTTCCCAACGGATATCCGGCAGGGCCGGAGCACGGGGCGGTCAGCCAGGCCCGCGCGGAGCCAGGAGAGCCATTTGCGAGCACTTGCCTTGGAGAGGTCGACCAGSGTGTTGGCCTGGTCGCTGAGCTTCCTCTGCTCCATCTTCACGCTCCGCAGCCTGCGGGAAGGACGGGGGCGGCCATGGAGACACGGCCCCGAGCGCCACCGGGACCACACATGCCAACTACCCCAGGAAACGGAGCTTGCCGGGGCTCCGCGCCCTCACTCACTGGTGGATGGCTTGCAGGAACTTGCGCTGGTGCTTGCGCACCTTGGCGTGGTCGATCTTCTTGAGCAGCTTGGTGTGCTTGTAGATGAGCCACGTCTCCCGCAGCACGTTGGCCGCCGCGTTCTTGATCTGCAACGGGGGCACGGTGCCGGCGGGGGCCCCCGGCACGCGGGGGT